ATTAATGTCCACGAGCAAGAGGCCATCTCAGTATTCGTTCGAAAGATCAGGGAAACTGGACGAAGTAACCTGATCGAGAAGGGGTTTATTGAACCAGAAGCCGAGGTACAATATTTGCTACAACCGGTCTGGAAAGCCGATGTCGCTAAGGCTGAAGGGCCGTAGTAGCTGCGTCGACTCGAAGGTACGCAGGTTCGAATCCCACCTCGCGCACGGATAGCACTCCACCATGGGCGTTTGAAGAGAGTATTGATAGTGTATTGAAGGATAAAATGCTCGTTGAAATGAATTTCTCCAAAGAAAAATTATTTGAAGAAACGATTTTATATTCACGTACTTTTAGTGATTTCCCCCCTTCCTTTTTGTTGGTGGTGTCATGGCACACTGGCACTACCCTATAAGCCGCCACTGTTCAGAGTATACTTATAATTTGTGTATCAAAATGTCGGATGGCTGAGAAAACTCAACGACAAAACAGTATTCCAAATTTTCTTTCGCGGATTTTGGAACAACACAAAGAGGGATATTATACGCCTTTCGGCAAATGGCTCAAACTCGCGAAAGGGTAATAACTAGTCTGAGAGTGCGCTAGGTAAATCCTGTACGTGCACCGGCTGACGCTGCTGCTCTAAGGAATGCCACAATATCATATTCAATACAATATTCTTGAGAAATTCAAGCAGTCGGCACCATCAAATATTATTCCAACAAATATAGTATATTTAAAAAACAAACAAACAAACCTTTTGCCAATTAAATACACACAAGAGCAAACCAAAATACTTACTCTTCGCCGTTCTAAATATTCACAAGAAGTATCAATCCAAGGTATTGAATTTTCATGGCCAACCTCCTCGGTTAGTGCTTAACATTTTGCCAATTAAATCCACACAAAAGAAACCTAAATATTTACTCTCCATTATTTAAAAATCCACAAGAAATAACAATCAAGGTATTGAAGTTCTGCGGCCAACCTCCTCAGTTAGCACTTAAAAGTACTTTTGAACAAATGACTTACCTGAAAGCCTCACGTCATCAACAAACCAGAATTAAATTCTCAAAAGTATCACCGATTATAAATCGACGTTCGCAGTTGAGACTGTAATGCGGAATATCTGTCATCAAATCCATAATATTGCCAACACTACCATCTATACATGTCCAATATGGGAAGGAACCGCACCTAGCACTATTAACATTCTAAATTTTGAAAATATTAGTTCAACACTTAATGTCCCATGATTCACCCCAATCAACAAACCGACATCAAAATTCATCAATACAGAAAAAACAACTGGCCAACACTTTATTTAACAACTTACCAAACTTTTAAATTTTTAAATCAGGAAGAAAACAACAAAAAACACATCCTGTGTTAAATTGACATTCCCAAAGGTCTGAATTGAACCCCCTTGGATTATAAGTATCTCTCTCGCACATCCAGCCACCACTACCTTCCTACCTAGAACTTTATTTATAACTTATTAACATTGAAATAAGTAAACCAACCTCGACTTAAGTATGGTCATAAACGTGGGAAAAAATGTATCTTCTAATTCTCGAAAGATAAGATTGTCCAATAGAAGCAATACATTAAAAAATAATATTCCGAGTAGGTATCATTAAAAGTCCATTCGAATGATTCCATGTGATACTGTCAAAACAATCAGGTCAAATCTCAACATTGATGTTGAACCTCGTCTTTGTGAATAGTTTTTAGGCATGAATCGTTTCGTTCTACAAATTGTTCGATGTAACGCAAACTGTTTACTGCAACATCGGTAAGAAATCGATGCTTTTCTTTGAATGCATAAAATACATTATCTTCTGATCTCAGAAACCCATTCCACCTCTGAAAGCTATCAGAACTTTAAGGAATACTCTGTTTATGATACCGAACGTCCAGATTGCAGAGGGCAGGGTGGAACGACTCTCATTATGAGTGACTGCCTTTCCAAACAAATCGCCTTTTAAGCAACTTTGAAAGGACAATCTTTGAAGCAATCATTCTTCAGCAATTCAAGGAAATTACAACTGGTGAACCAACATGTTGGCCTACGGATCCTACACAAAAATAGACATCGTATAATAATAATAATAATAATAATAATAATAATAATAATAATAATAATAATAATAATAATAATACGAAAAAACTACGAAAACCATAGATACCTCTCACATGGCTACAAGAATATTTTTCTTTCAATTTCTGGAAATTGGAAGTTTTTAATATAGATTACAGCAGAACCATTAGATCAGTCTTGTGATAATATTACAATAATTCTTTCAGGTATAGAAGATTCTTACAGAATATAACTAGTGGTGTCAAACAGCATGTGATTTCTCGCGTCAGTAACTGTTACGTAAAATTATAATACTACAATTTCTGTTCATATTAATACATCTCAGCCATCAGCACAGTACTCTCAGTCACCAGAAAGTCACAACGAAGTACTCGTAAAACAAGAAATTGTCCAATATTCATGCAAATGAAAATAGTCGAGAAGCAAGATTTTAAAAATTCTTGTCAATTTAATGATATTGTGTCATTTTAATGATATTTAAAAAGAGGAACAAAAACTCAAAAGAAAGTGAAATGAATAAACATGTGCTTCATCTAACACCTAACACTTTTACTAATGACTCGCAATAGAAGGAAATGAAACGACTGAACAGTTAAAATATATTACATCAATATTAAAATGTAAATATATATCAATAGTTGGACGATTACTAAGGAACAAAGGGCGGATGCTTTTGCAGAACAGTTAAGCAATATGTTTCAACTATTGTGCTTGAACACAAAATATCTGCTACTGCATCAAACATTTCTGCTACTAAATCGAAAATTTGAATATTGTCCACCTAGGACTGCAAATCCATAAACTATGTGTTAGTATAGATGTATTGATAATTTCATTACTTCAAGTTACGTTTTGTGCCGTAACCAAATTTGGAATAACGCTTTGGAACTATGAAGCCCCTGTTTTCGGCTTCTCAAAAGTGTTCGTTCAATGTTTGGGAGCAATCGCTCCAGCACTTCAAAAGTTATTATGAAATAAACATATGCTTTGTTCAAGCCAGTAGGCCATTTTTGACAGGTTTTAATACAGTTGAGGGTCAGGGAAGACCAAACCACTTTACGAAATGTATTTTTTCGCCAGTGAAATAGCTGTTAAAGTGATAGTTCAGTGCGCGCAATTATGAAGTTAGGGGTAGTTTTTGTGAGTGATTTACAGTTCCGATATCAACTTTAAATAAATTATTTTAAGAATTGATACAAGTCATATCGAAAAGCGTATGGGAGAATGTATATGCGCATTAATTAGTAAGTCATCAAATTGATAGAATGGATAACCATGAATACTGAATTTCAATAAGCCTGCGTTGTGTACTTTCATCACATTTTAAATTAAACAATTGATAAAAATTCCAACCAAATAATTATGCAAGTAAATTATGTTTCTTAAAAAAGAAGTTATAAACTATGCCTTTCTTGCATTCTAGCTACACAAATATATTGATTTTAAGCAAACATTCTCCAGTTGGCAGAATGGAAGAAAAAATGAAAAGAAAAAGAGGAAGTGGAGTTCCAGCTCAAGTTCTTCAACGTTCGTGAAATAAATATGAATGATTTCTACTTGTTACAGAACACGCCTCCAATTTGGTTTGGCATTAATGAATGAAACAAAACTGCTCTTTCGACTGAACGGATTATTCACAGATACACATCCAGATTTATATTAAGAAACAAATTCCATTCCAACACTACAAGTGGATACCAGTGGCACCATTAATTATTTCTCGGTTTACTTTCCAGAGACTCTCCGGAAAAAAAAAAAAAGATATCTTACCTCTTAAATGTTTTACTTGATAATCAGAAATATCCATAACTAATTTAATTCTTTTATCAATATTAGTGATGCCAAGTGCGTATCAGCAAGTGATGCTTTTTGCGTATCAGCATGCCCCGAGTAGGGTCAGCATGCGTTGAATATGATATTTATGAAACCTCTTAGTGCTACAAGTTGAACATTTGCAACGAACTGTGAAATTTCATAATACTGTTTTACGCATTTCGAACCATTATTAGTGCACCAAGGAACTATTAACGCGTTTTTGTTCGTTCCCTCATAATTTGAACGAAATTAAGGTAGACTTTTATGGTTAGTATTACAACATGCGAAATACATCTTTCATGTTCATTTAGAATTTCCTTTTGAAAGAGATTTCTGAGCATGAAAACCTTTTGATTTTACAGCCATAAATTGCATTCAAGAAATGTGTTCAAAGGGCTACGGCTGATCAAACAAACGTTAGTCAACTCCAAGCACAATCGCCTTCATTAACTTTTCTTATTCAAAAGTTGGTCCTTTCTTCAGTTGGTCACACTGTAACAATTCTCGAACAAGTGAAGCTCGAAAGCACGTGAGGGAGGCGGGGCAAGGGTAGGAGCAGAAGTGGGCAAGGAGTGTGGTTATGGTAAATGTACGGGTTTGTTTTCAGAAACGTAGTTTTCACAATGTGATAAAGGTAAGGAGATAGATTCAATAAAGCTCTATATAGTTATGTTTATAGACAAAGCGGTGAATGAGAGATAAATGTACCCGTAACCAGAGCTTATGAAAATTTGAAGTTTGGAAATTGTTAGGAGAAAAATTTAAAATGTAACCAACAATTTGATTTTAGATATGGCGTATGTCATTGACATCAGACAGCAAAGTACCTAAAGCTATGAATCATGATGTGATAGGACCACCTGATAAAATTTCTAACTTGAGGCCCGTCATAGTTCATATACCAAAGGAAGAATCCTCAATAGAGAAGCAGTTTCGTTTGAAAAGAGAAGAAATTCAAAAATGGAATGAAACCTTTTGGTCTAATCATAACACAAAATTTTTTGAGGTATGTTATAACTTAACTTTTTTTTACCATGTTCATGTATAAAGGCCAATATCTTTTTATTAAAAATATAAAAATGTAATATTGTATTTCAGCAAAAAGAAAAATTTACAGCAAATCATGCAAAGAAATATTCTAGTGAGAGTAGTGTTTCTCCTATGACTTCAGATGAAATGTCTGTGTTCTATAAAAAGTTTCTAGATGAAAATTGGAAAACTCATCAAATGTACAATGTTGAATGGTACCGTAAAAATATTGGTCTTCTTTTGCTTGCATTACGTGTGACTGTTTTCAAAGTGGCAAGAACTTGGAAAATCATTAGTAAATTATAAATTGTTACAAATGCTCTATAATTTAATAATATATGATCGATTAGGGTGAAGTTCAGAAAACAAATGTTTTGAAAGAAGAAAAAAAAAATTTGTTTTGTTATTTAATTTTTAATTACTTTTTTTGAGTATGAATGGTTTCATTTGATAAACAAACGAAACCCATTCATTCACTTACTATTTATTACAATTATTTGTACTGTAATTGAATGGAAAGTATCAAAATATTGAGTAATTTGCTCATGAATCTAGTCGGAAACAAATTTGTGAAAGCAAACTAAATGGATTTGAATGTTTTTAATAAATTCTTAATATTCTATTTGTAAGGAATTATTTAACTCTTTTGTAGTGGATTAGGTTTTTAGAGGCCTCCATTCTAGAAAATCCAAATGGGCTACCCCATTTGCACAATGTGGGTACAATTGCCTAACATTAAAACAGGAGTTTTAAATCTAATTTATGAATATGTGCCTCATATTTTAAATCATATTTAACTAAAAAGATAGTATGCTCCATTTTATGTCATCAAGATTCCCAACCTTGGATCACTCCTCATCAATTGTGAAATTTGTATGATATATAAGAAGAACAGAAGGATATATTGTCCCTATCAGGCAAAACTGGGAGAGTGCATAGAATGAAAATAAACTTGTGCGCATGTAAGATGATGTGTCATACTCAGTCAGCATTGCCAGTAAAGTGTATCATGATCACAACCTTCAAGATTGTAAAAATATATTTTACTAAGACAGGCTAATTCCAAAACTACAAGAGAATTTTTTTGGTTCTAAATACTTTCAATTCTTTTTGAACAGGAACCCGACTTATTGTGGGTCAACGGTAGTCCCCAATGTATACCACAATTACTATGTTCCTGGTGTTGTATAATATTTTGGTAATAGATTATACACCAAAGGTATAAAAGCACAATTTTTCCTGGTGTGCGTTTGAAGCACATGGGATGTAATTGCTCTGAGGGATAAATACATTTCTCTTTGGAGGTTTATATGCTATTGTTTCCACAACAACAACATCAACAACAAAAAGTTTTTGTGAAGATTACATTAAAAAAATAGTACACCACAAGATACTGAATTTTTGATATTCAAGTAGATTTTTTTGTTGTTGTAAAGGTACCGTATAATGGTCAACAAGCACCTACTTTTGATGATCAGTGGTAGAATGAAATTCAAGTGTTCAGTCTTTTTTATGTTCTAAGTAAACAAGGGAGAAAATGTTATTTCCCTAGGAAGCAAATGTTTTACTCGAGCTTTGCATTTCGTAATGAAGAAACAGACTTCTACTTCCACTCATGGAAAAATATTTAAGTAACCAAGGATGATAACCAAACTATCATTCCCATCTTTTTACCATAATTTCAGAAGAGCTGAAATTTTATGATAACATATTTCATGAAAACAAGAGATCAAAACAAAATCTGTTGTAGCATCCATTTCTCATCATAGAGATGTCCACGGTCTAAGTCCATCATAGATATGTCCAGAGATTAAGAAAACTTGAATTTAGTGGCTAGAATTTATCTTTGAAATTGAGTTGAAAATGACAAGCATACTGCTTCTGTATCACCTGTACAGCTTTAATGTTTGAATTAAATGGAAAAAATAATTAATTTTTTAGTTCAGGGGTCATCCAGAAATTAAGTAATCCTAAAGAGGAAATAGTAAGTTTGAGACAGCATTATGCTGTGTAATATGCATGTAGTGGGATGTTAGTTTAGTGTTACATAGCACTATTATTGTTTGTTTGATTTATGCGACATTTTCTGAAATACTATAATTTCTTTTATTCAGTCTTAAAATAAAACTTTAAAATATGAACAAAAAAAAAGTTTTAATGTATAATCCCAGTATGCAGGGCCTCCAAAGCACTAACGTTTTATTATTTCATTTTGTACACTACACAGCTGCGTATATGAAAGCTTGCTCTCAGTGTAATTTCTCTTCTATCTTTCTATTTTCATTTTAGTCATTGGAAAAGGAAAAGTTATCATAAGTTAATTAGGTAGATCTTGAAATGCAATTGTCACATCAATGCATAAGAAGGGCTTTTAAGGCTATATTAATAGTTATTTAAATAAATAACCTTTTTTTAACATTTAACTTTTATTGAAATTAAGAAATGAAGTTATTTAGTATAAAAAACAATTTTTTACGTTCAGTTTTCGAGAGCAGATTGCATAGGGCCTCAGAGATCCTGCATATGCATTCATGTAGTTTCTAGGGTTCCATGCATCCTAGGGATAAGTTGCAATAAATGGAAATAATTTTTCATCAATGGTATACTGATTGAAAATGTTTGATTATAAAGAAAGTATCCAAAATTGATCTATAGTATATTCTGTAGAATCCAAAGAAATTGGCATAGTCTCTTACCCATGCGTCCTCTATGATGTGTGCACAACTTCTCAGAAATTTTCTTGACTATGCATGTGAGATGATTATCAAGTGTTCTGATAAATCTGTGAATGCAACAAGAAAACAAATTTTTTTCTGACCTGAAGGACCAAAAGGCAAATAGGACTAAGGGGCTGTCCATAAATTATGTAATGCAAATTTGGAGTATTTTGAATACCCCTTCTCCCCCTGTAACACACGCATGAACCCCCCTGTAATAATTAGGTAACATTTGCGACAAGACTCCTCCAGTTACAATAAGTAGAATCAATTATAAAGCAGAAACAGCGAATTTGAGTTAATTGTATTTTTGTTATATATTAAAATTTATGATAAAGTGAGAAGTAGTTGGTGATGAGGACATCAACTAATATAAGATTGACGACAATTTTTGAGAAGGAAGGAGAAAGAAGGAATTTTTGAGAATGAATGAAAGAGTCTACTGTTGCAATTTAATTGGATTCTAGAATATATTGTAGAATAGTTTTGAATATTTTCTTCATAATCTAACAGATTCAAACAATATATCTTGATGAAAAAATATTAAATTTATTGTACCGATTTATACATCATAACTTTCTTTAAGTTTATTATATTCTTAATTTAATTTTATGATCCCATATTTTAAGTTAATGTTTGAGTATAAGACTGAATAAAAGGATTTTTTCAGATAATGTTGAAAAATATCAGCTTTACTTAACACTAAACTAATACCCCTACCCCATGTAACACACTGTAACGCTACCTTGAACCCCCTCCTCTTTAGCATCATGTAGTTTACGGATGATCCCTAAAGGACATGTAGAACAAAAGGGACCAAATGTTACAAAATGTGACAAGAAGTAAGTAAGGCTGTCTAAAAAGTAGTGTATGGCACATGTGGAAAAAGTGCTTGTAGGATTGCACCACTTGGCCTATCAGACTCATGTTTCAACATTTCCTACTCGGAAAATAAATTGCCCTTTACCACTTGTACCATAAAGAACTAATTACTTATTGTGAATGTTGATCATAAGTATTGCATAATTATTTAGGTGAGTGGAAGAGTTACATCTGGAAAGGGGTTCCAAATGCTCCAAATTTGCGTTATGTAATTTATGGATGACCCCTTAAATAATTCATTACCACATTTGAATTCAGATCCCTATGTTGTGGTGCAACTAGTCAAACATCTGTCTAAATATTAGCATACATTTTATGAGTTAAGATTTTTATTTTCAAATGGTCCAATTCAGAATTCAGTTCAGCAACCTAATAGATTCTTAAATTTTATTGGTATGAAAACCAGAACCTATTAAAAACATTTATATAGCAACGCTCTTCTTTCTAAACTGTGATTAACAAACCTGCCAATTTTGTCTTTTATAGTTAAATGCAAGAGAGATATAGAAATCTGAAAGGGCTCAATTACATTTGTTGTCTCCATAGCCCTTCAAATGTAGTGTTTTTTCGTCTCTCCACAATTTCAAATTTCTCTTGTTTTTTGTTCAATGAACTTGCATTCTAATATTTTTAGGCTAGATAGCGAAGTTAAAAATTCTGAAATGTACCTAATTTTTTTTTAAAAATAGCTCTTGATATGAAAAAAATGAGAAGTATTTTGTGTTATTTCCTTTACTGCTACTTTCATGAATTACTGAAATCAAAAACACATTTTTGATTGTGCTTAGGATATCTGAGAAGACACTGGTGGTGGTACTGGTGTTTCCCCCTCTCCGTTTTTCTTTTCGTTGCGAATTTGTCGACACAATACGCGTCTCAACCTTAATTGGCACTGAGCACTTGGAGTAATCCTCGTGAAGTTTTTTTGTTAAGTCTCATCATGCTGCAATCAGTCACTGCCCTTTATTACTTCAGCCAGGGGCTTAGAGCCATTAGTAATTGGGTTTCCCAGATGGTCCCCTGCCTAGGAATCGACAGTATCTTGAATTATTCAACTTCTATGACATGACAGTGTAGTTAAACAATTAGAGGTGTGATCTGATTTATGCTTTTCATTATGTTCAAGTTTTGTGAACAATTATTTTATTGTCATTAATTATCACTAGATCATGGAATTTCAGGTTTTAAAATAGGCATTTAGGTGCCTAAAATAGGTTCTTTCTGCATCTCAGTTAAGCTTTTTAAATGGTACTATAGACACAAATAAAACAGGACTTACAAAATACATGTTTTTACCATTTATTATATAGGTTACTCAAAGATTAAAACATAAATGGATGTAGGATCAGTGTCGTATACTTTGTGATAATACTGTTTTTGAACAAGTTTAATTGTTTGTCCTCTAGTTAGAATTGTTCATAGGGTATTTTGCCTTACAATAAATTACCAATCCTTTCTCCAAGTTTTCAAGAGAACATTAATGTTTTTCGGCAAGATCACTTTTCTTTCATGGAAATTCAATCACTTGATCTTAGAAGCGGAAGCAGGTTTTTCCATGAAATAGTTGGAGACACTATCACAAGATCCATGCCCTGTATATTCATTTCTCGCTATCTTACTGATTAAAGCAACTTAAAATTAATATCATCCTTGTCTGTTGTGTTGACACTGAAGGAAAAAGTTAAAAGAAGCCACACAAAAAATTGGCCAATTAGCCTCATTTTAGGTTTTTAAAAGTAAAATAGGCATTAGTGTCGAAATAGGCTCTTTTAGGTGCCGTAAAATTCACTGGTTATAGTTCAAATAACCCTGAAGTGTACATATAAAACTTCATTTAGTACCAGAAAAAAATAGGTTTTTACCTAATATATTCAATCTAGTTATTACATTTAACACTATTTCTTCTTAGCCCATCTTATCTACCAACCTCATCTTAACCATTCGGATTGCTGACATGAGCAATCTTATCACATATTTCTCAGAAAATCTTTAAGTAAATAATCCTTAATAAAATCACCTAACTATTTTCATTCCTCAACTTTTTATAACATTTCTTGATCATATTTAAAATCTAATTTGCATTTCAAGCACTTGAAAAGGGTCCAAGTAAAAAAACAAACAAATTCATTCTATCATGTTTTGAAAGAATTCCCTGCATTCAAAATCAAGCTGTTTACCCAAGTCACATTTCTCAGCAGAATGCTTCAAAATATAATAAAAAATGACTGTCCAAGAAGTAATTAAAAGTAGTGGACATAAGCTCCTTTAACAAATGTTTTTCTTTGAGATAGTTGATTTGGGTAAAAATACAAATTCATTAATTTTTAAAAATGTGTTATATTTAAACCTATTTTATTTGTGCTGGAATATCAATCCTTTTCACTCTTGTGGCCACGTTTCAAACTTCTGAAAAAAAACTTTTTATGAGCATCGTCAACATACGGAATCATCTTCATTGTATCACAGTTTTTGCTTCTTTACCCTGACTGTTCCTCCTGGATAGAAAATTTCATTTGCCATTGGCCAAGGATGTGTGTGTATAACGACCTAAATCGAAGGTGTGAGATGTTACTCCATTGATACATGGCAAAGCTGTGACGACGCCTGGAGATCTTTCATCATGAAATGATAAAAAGTACTGATAGCAAAATACCTTTTTGTATGTGTGCGTGCATGTACTTGGTGCGACAGCCCATGAACGGGCTCACGTCTACCGACTACATCCCAGCCTCGCGGCCACCGGTTTTAGGGGTTACGTGTAGTTAACACATAGACATCCCCACGCCATATTCTGGTCTTCTCTACCTGAGAAGTGAATTTTCTCATCATCACACAACATAAAATGAACATTAATGTCTTGGCTCCATTGGGAAAAGAACTTGGGGCCGCGTAGTGGAAAGTGAGCTTGCTGACCAAGAGCTAGTCACGAGCCCAAAATATATTTTTACTTCTCTCAAATTTTTACTTTCAAATTCTGGATTCACTTCGACAACAGTAAATTTAAAAGAAGAACTGCAGTGAAGGGTTATTTCAGTTAACTATCATATGCTGTAAATTCTATAATGCTTGCGAAGAGCTCTTTTGATAATAGAAAAATCCTTATCACATGGTAGGAGAGGACTTCGAGTAGAAAATCATGTATTAATTTTGATATGGAATGATTTTGGTTCTGTGCAATAGTTATCAGAAAATAAATGAAATGCAGTGCTGTATCACTGAGCTAGAAGTGTAGAAGGAAAGAACATACCTGAGCAGAGTGCAAACTTAGGTTCTTTTAACAAAAATAATGCGCCCATGTTCAAAGAATATATTTTGGCAAGAAAAGACTTTTTAAATGTGAGTTAATTCCTTTTCACAAATAGCTATACTCTTGTTCTGATCTGTACTCTTGTGTTGTTTCCTTTAGAATCTTCCAATTAAAACAGGATAAGAGGAAATCCTGAAAGTATCAATATCAAATAAAACTCACAAATACGAGAATGGCTTCTTTATTACAAGGAAAAAAAGCTTGCAGAGTGTAGTTCTTTTGTTAGTTTACAAAGTTTGTGTACATTTCCATGTATACTGTCTTTCCAGATACTCTTATCTATGAAACACAGGACTTTATTTGAAAGAGCAAATGAGGTCTTCAGAAAGAAAGTGATACAAAAGCTGTTGACACACGCAAAAGTGAAATAGGGAAGGAAGTGTACTCTGTTCTAAGAAATAGTACAATTTGTTCTTGTTCTGCAAACCTTGCAGCAAAATAAAATATTGGCAAGATCTCTTTAATACTTCAATTTACATTTCTCTCTTCATAATACTTGATACCAGGTCCACGCTTCCACATGATAAAATCAAGAAAAAGATTTCTAAAGAAAACAATTGAGATCTTTATCCAGTGGTTTCTGCATTCATGGTATTGAAGAGAACAATCTACTCTACTAGCTACCTTCAAACACAGCTGCTCGTATTATATTTCAATCACAATTTAACATCTTTGCCTAATACTGCATGCACTCTGTCACTGAATTTCTCTTTTAGAATTATTCGATATATACTGTATATGTATATAAACACAACCACATATAATCAACATTTAGAAAATAGTTTCAAGAATATGAACAATTTTTATGGTATATGTATATACATATTTGCTGATTCTTTAATTTTACACATTTCTATACAAAAAATTCAGTGAAACAAAGAACATGTTAATGCTTCTGCTGGTCTTCTCCAAATATTTCATTATTGTAAATCAAACAATCAAGTTTCTTTTGTGTTAATTTCAAAAATTTTAAATCTCAATATGAATGACATCACCAACAAAGTATTTCTAATTCATTGTTATGTAACATCATAGAATATTCTAGGCCAGAGGTAATGAATTAAAGCATAGTCACGAAACACATTATGCAATAATATATATATCCTATTAGAAAGTAGGGAATGTCTATGGGCAAAGGGATATGTACAATGCATGGAAGACCAACATTCCTTGGTGGTTTCATTACTGTAGATAAGTTAGCATGTTTTTAAAGAGGGAGATATTTCAACAAAATATAAATAAAACAACAATCACAAATAAATACAAACAACAACAGCACTGACACTTTAGTGTCTATTGCTCTACTGATCTGCTGACTCACAAGGAGCAAAACAATGAAAACAAAAATTTCACTGTTCTACAAAATCTACTATCTGCCATGATCACAGAAACCTTATGGTTCGTACAAAGTGCAAAGTATCATATGTACATAATCTGCATACATGACTTTTCTGTACATATGTCAACACCTAGATAAATTAAGAATGCAGATTGCAATGGCATGTTACACAAGAGCACCTTGCATACAGTAGCAGCATCACATTTCAAAAGAAAAAAAAACTGTCCGTTCAAGACAGGTAAATGAGATACAGCATAGTTAAATGCGAAACCCAGGTATACAGTAACACTGCACAACTCAAGTTATGTCCCTGTTGGATGATGTGGCTTCAGTGGTGTTGTTCTCTAGGCCCACCATTTCTGCAGCTGCCACATCAGGCCCCACACGTCTGAAGAACTGTTCATGACCCTGATAAGTGTACTGTGTTTCATCGAGACCAAACCTGAGACCCAGTACAATATTCAGAGCAGAACCATCATAACGGTGGCAGCCTGAATACCGATACTGTGGCTTCTTATCAAAGCGACATCCTCCTGATTGTGCACCTGTAATAGACATGATCAAAAAAAGTTTTCAAACACAGTTTGTAATGGTGATTACTTTCATTACACATTTAGAAAATCTTGCAGGATGTTTAAAACAAGTAGTTCCTGTTCGTACAAAAAAAAAAGTAATGAAAATAACAAACAAAGTCTCAGGAAGTCTTTATATTTTTAATTATAAATAGAATACCCTAACTACATCAAGACTGATTCGACATCAACCATGATTCTTTTTGTTGTATCTTGGTTGACTTAAAGTCAATAATTAAATGTATTGGAGAATACAGTATTATCAAAGTATTATTTACATCAAGTGCAATTTCAAAAACTAAGCAGCATAATAATTAAACATGCTATCAACTATTACTTCAACTCTCAGACTGACATTCAAAAATTATTTTATGGTTCACATGGTCTCTTAAGGATACTCGCTCCCAAAGCCTCCAGATGGAGGGTACAGGGGAGGGAGGAGCCAGGGAGTCTATATGTGTGATGGACAAATGTACCATTTGCAGAAGATAATGGATGGATATTTCATGTTGAGGGAAGCAAAACTGAAAAAATATATTTAAAGTTTCACCTTGAAAACAACAGCTCAATTAAAATCAGTTCTCCATTTTCTTGACATAATGTACATTGCTGTATAACCAATCTTTGCTTCTATTGTTTATGCAGATCTTTGAATATGCTATTAAATTACTGAATGAATGTAAAAGCTCTCGCTCTTCCCTAAATGATATAAAAATAAGTAATGAAGGCATATAAGCTAGAGACTAAGCTCATCCCTTAATGAATAATACAAATCAAATTATTTTGTACCAATTAATTGGTTGTGTGACTTAATTTAGTTTTCTGCAAAATGTTGAAAACAAATAGCAAAAAATTTAAGGAGTAGAGGAAAGGCAATTGTTAGTTTGCCAACACACCATGTTAGATAATTATTGTTATTTTGGCTACTAAGTTCTTACATGTCAATAAATAATCCTGATGTGCCAGCTACCAAACTGATGCCTTCTTGGGTTAATACGAAGAATTGTGGAATGGTCATATGAAACATACATTACATTCAAAGTACCATTCACTCAGTTAAGATCACAAGAGAACACCCTACCACTTTCTCCCAGATTTTAATAACAGTAGTAAACTTACCAATAGGATGAACACAATCAGGAGTAAGAGCGCACTGAATCCATGGTAACATTAGCTCTTCATGAACTCCTTCAGTATTATAAAGCAACAGTCTATTGGTCTCTACCATTGGCAGAAACAGAAAACTTTCAGCTGTGGTGTGGAAGTAATCAAACATTTTGGGATGAGTAAGAGACGATGTAGCTCTCTTAGTTGCCCATCCCAACACCCCCCCTCCTTTTAGAGCAGTCTGCAGCAAAGGCTCAATGCGACCAGTTAATAATCGATAATCACATTCCATGAAAAGAACAGCACCAGCTTTGTTCAATGCATCCTGAAATGACAATTAATGATTTAAAAAACCTCTCTCATGGAACTCTTCTAACATGAATGAGATTATGTTATTCTTTTCAAATATCAATCTACAAAAATTTGTGCCACAAATAAAAACAAATGGAGGTGCTTGGTACAATTATGACCCTAGAACACTTTTTGGAACAGATCAATTTACATTAGATGTATTATGTACAAAAGTGATTCTAATTGTTCATTTAAGTTATATTTGCTTTTTAATTGTCAGGCATTTACTAATATTAAGTAAATCATCTTTTTAATTTATGAGTTACTTGCCTGACTACAAGTATTATCAAAGATAAAGAAAATAAACCAAACAACCTTTACCTGTATAAGAAGTGGTCGGAAGGCATGCAATCTCTCCTCTTCAACATGAGATGGGAAAGCACTAAAATCAAAATTCACAACTACACAACGGCTGCTGTTGCAATGAGTCAGGAGCTGGAAAAATAATGGAAACTTTATTCCAAGATATTAATATTTTTGTAGGGATATTTTGCAGCAATATTTAATTCACTAACACCTCATTACAAGTTATCACATTCAGTAACATGCACATGCCCTTGTAATTGATTTTACAAACTAATTATTTTAACCATGCTAGTATTTGAATTCACAACAAATTGGTTAGAGATGGATCCTTAACACATTTCAAATATCTTAGACTTAAAACATAATGGGTGGACTTCAACAATAATCGCAAAGAAAAGGTATTGCTCCAACTCACCATTTGCAGTCCATACTGCCCTAATCCCAAATTATATATTATGGCAGTGTGGTTTGGTAAGAAGTGAGCAACATTTCTCGCAAATCCCACTGCTTGTTGCTCTTGCCCATCCGAAACCTAGGAGAGAATACACACTCATAGTAGTGGCATGAACCACATTATATTGAATTTATTGCTGAATTCTCATTACAGATATTGTTTCAAACTTACGTATGTCACAACAATTGGTAAGGAAGTATTTTTCCATACTGCCGATGGGTACAAGCGAGCATGCTCTGTGAATCCAAGAAGGGTAAGGTATTTTTCATCAGCCACCAAACGTTTTTCTTCAGCATTTTCCAAATTTTCCTAAATACATAATACATGCTATGAATGTATATATATTATTAGATACAAGAAGATGAAATGGGCACAGCTCCTCTGCTTTTACCTTGAAATTCTTCAAATTGTTAAGCTGTTTATGGGTTTCTGAAACTATACTTTGAATAGACGGGCGCTGGTTACCGAATACAATAAGGAACACACTGGTGGCCACAACACAAATCAGGAACAACACAAATGTTTTGGTCCTCATTTGGGTGAAAACCACCTCAGAAACATGGGAATCTCTCGCAGATTCTGGTTTCAAATGTCACTCGATCACGACTGACTTCCAGGAAAACTTATTAATATAAAAATGAGGTTATGTTGTCATTATGAAAGTTTCGCTACAGGGAGAACATTTACACTCCTTTCTTACACGCGCATGGCAAATTCTAATAGGCCATTCAGATAATTGCAACTGTGTGACCTCACCTTTTCCTCAAATAACTATAACAACCTCTCCCCTGCATTCGACTCATTTTCATTCAGTACTCACAACATTCATTTTCGCGAAACCACGCTCGCACCCTACAACAAATTGAAATAATATAATATACCAAATGATTAGAGGTAAAGCGGAGTTGACACACTCACACCCAGTCCGTCATAATGCAGTCCAAGCAATTACGGTTTGGTTATATCGAATTCATTGCTGTATTTAACGACAGGTTGAGATGCACTACGAAATCCTCGATAGACGACCGAAGTTCGCAGAAGCGTCAATAGAATGTGCTTATGTGTTCTAATGGAGTGTCAGTACAGTCACGAAGCGCAATCCGCAAAGAGCGGAAAAGCATTGAAATGCACCGTGCGATAACATTATTGCGTCATGGATTAACTATGCTGCCATTATGCTTTTAATCGTCAACTTCTACTATCTTTCGGGGAAAAACGAACAAAATACGTGAGTGGAACTTGATTCGTCCAAGTTCCTTTTACAATAACTTGTTTTGTTTGATGAACTGTGGATATGATAGTCTGTTATCAGTTTATTTAATGGTTGTTTTGAAATGCTTTGGAAGTTTAGAAAGAGCTTCTAACACATTGGTAAGAGTAGAGCAGTGTCTGTTCGAAAATTAAGCTGAAGTCTAGTATACGGTACAACTTACGGAAGTCGTTTAAACCAGTACTTTGCGCCGCTCCGGCGGTAACTGCGCAGTTTGAATTCTGGAGGCTTTCTTGAAAAGTGCTTTCTCATAAATGTGAATTGGTAGTTATGCGATGGATAGACTCAAGGATGTTTAAAGTGGATGCGAGGGCCGAAGGCCCGAGCCTCGCCGTGACTTGGATCCGAGCAAGCGAAGCGAGAAAACTTGCCGTGAAGTAAATTGGCATTACAATGCGGCGTGGGACATTGCGTAATGAAGAAGTCCGATATCCGTAAGTTTTTCAGTATAATTTCTTCATCCGGCGCATAGCCGTAACTTTGAGGGGAGAAGCTTAAGAGTCCCCCCCCCCCCCGCCACGCTTCTCTGATGGGTGTACCGTGTACCCGCTTTAACGCGAAATTGCTTATTAAAAGTTCGGTGACCTTGACCGCCGGGCTATATATACTATAGTATATAAATTATATATATATATATATATATATATATATATATATATGATATAGATATATATATATATATATACACACACTTTTCGTTGATCGTAAGAAGAAAACTATTAGGTGCTACAATCAAGTACTACATAAGCCGTACTACTACTAACTTTTCAATGTCGACGAGCGGATCGTTGTGGACCTCATCCAGCTAATGCATTGGCCATACATCAGGGCGCAGGGTAAAGTAAGGCAGGCGCGTATCCACGGGGAGGGAAATGGAGAAAATTTTCATAATTTTTTTTCAGAAACTAATAATTTTAACCTGTGATTAAATTTTGTCGTTGGATGGTGTGAAGACCGCTAAAAAGAATGGTGCAGGTATCATATTCGTTGAAAACTAATTTTTCGAAAATTGCTAAAGTACAAATTCTTTTCGGCGTGCTCCTTCAACTACAATTATGAAAATGAAGATTTCTTCCCTTAAACAAAACCTGTTCCTTAAAGATAGATTTTAAATTATGGTCATGTACAACTTTTCGAAAATTTGAGGATTTTTCGCGTAATTTTGCGTGAAATTACGGTCGAGAAAGTACATTCTGTTTTAGCACAACTAGTTTTCATATGAAAATTACTTTTTCCGAACTTATTTACATCAAAATCTTAATTTTTGAGTTTACAACAGTATTTTGGAAAATAACTCGGTATTGGGGGAATGCCGCGGCAACGTCAGCGTTGTAGTTCATGTACAGTATACGTCGCGCATTGGGGCTACTTAAAGGATCGATCTCACCTGCCTAAATCTCGTCGCGCGGATACTCTGACTGTGGACGTCCTCACGAAGAGAGACGAGGAGAGGGGGAGAGACGAAGAGAGAGGAAGAAACGAAGAGAGAGGGAGTGACGAAGAGAGAAGGAGAAACGAACAGAGAGGGAGAGACAAGCGAGGGGGAGAGACAAGCGAGAGGGAGATACGAAACGAGAGGGAGAGACGAAGAGAGAGGGAGAGACGAAGAAAGAGGGAGAGACGAAGAGAGGGGGAGAGACGAAGAGAGAGGGAGAGACGAAGAGAGAGGGAGAGACGAAGAGAGAGGAAGAGAGAGGGAGAGATAAGAGAGAGGGAGAGACAAGCGAGAGGGAGAGACAAGCGAGAGGGAGAGACAAGCGAGAGGGAGAGACAAGCGAGAGGGAGAGACAAGTGAGAGAGAGACAAGCGAGAGGGAGAGGCAAGCGAGAGGGAGAGACAAGCGAGAGGGAGAGACGAAGAGAGAGGGAGAGACGAAGAGAGAGGGAGAGACAAGCGAGAGGGAGAGACGAAGAGAGAGGAAGAAACGAAGAGAGAGGGAGATACAAGCGATAGGGAGATACGAAGAGAGAGGGAGAGACAAGAGAGAGGAAGAGACAAGAGAGAGGGAGAGACAAGAGAGAGGGAGAAACGAAGAGAGAGGGAGAGACGAAGAGAGAAGGAGAGAAGTCTTCGTCTCTCGTCGAGGGGAAGACGAGGAGAGGGGGAGACGAAGAGCGGGGGAGACGAAGAGTGGGGGAGACGAAGAGAGGGAGAGAGACGGAGAGGGAATGAGAAAGAGGGAGCTGAGGGGCAGAACAACGTCTGCCGGGTTCCACTAGTATTGCCATAAAGACGGAGGACTCTTTAAGCGTGTTCTCTAGTAATAGTATTTTCGGCATCAGTAAAAGTGATGGTGGTATGCCCTGAGTCTTATTTCTCAGGTGGTATGCCCTGAGTCTTCCACCTCCTTCTCGAAGCCCTCCCCTCTACCGCCAGGTTCGGGCTTATCACTAGAGACCGGATTATTATTAAATGTTGTGTTTTTTTGTTTTTCTTCTTAGAGTTCTCAAAATTGTGATCTTGGAGAATCATCGTCGTCATAACACAATATCGACTTATTTTGTTACATATTTTTACATATTTAGTACTATATTACATATTTTACATATTGTGTTATTTTCACAAAATATTTTTTATTTTACCAGTTTTATTTACTTTTATTGCGTATTTTTTAAGAAACGTATTTTCGAAAGAAAACAACAACAACATAATTTGTTTCTACATTATTACTGCTTGGGGTCTACTCGAGGTACGCTACGTCAAGACCCGGTCGAATATTATCATAGTCCTGCTTCAGTTATTTCAATGACAGAAAATGCGCGTCAGTGACTGACATCATTTTCATTTTTAGGTGTGTTAAATACATTGTCCGATTTTATATATTACATATTCGTTCTGTTTTCATTACATATTTATGTACATATTTTGACGTTTCATTTTACATATTTTTCCGTTCTGTTCTTATCATCCGTCTAGCAACGCGACTCGCGTTCCCCGAAAACACAGTAGTCATTCAAAAAGTTTTGCAACTCGCTTGCCGCAAAATCAATTAAATGGGTGAATGCCAAAACGGTATAAGTTACATTTTATAAATTCTGAGAAATCGTATGTCAGTACCACTGTATGTCCTTTATGTCAACCTTTATGTCAATACCATTGTAATGTCGTGGTGCTTTGTTTCATCATTAAAAATGGCATTTCAATTGTTCATAAAAATTACAAAAATACATTGCCTCTCAAATATAGCTTAAAATAAATACATTTTTTTCTCAGAGTTTGAAAAATGTCACCTTTACCGTTCTGGTTTTCACACATTCAATTATGCTTGTCTTTGCTCACTGCGTTGTTTTCAAAAGGCAGACATTATAGTAAAGTAGTGGGTAAACATTATTTCGCTAACGTCCCATACGCAACCACACGCGGCAATTTGTGAGGCGAATCATTTCCATTTTCATGTTACTTGAAAACTAGAATATCGAAATGAACAATATTAGTTGTCATGTTTCTCAGTCTTCTTACACTGTGGCCTGCGAATGCGTTTAATGATACCTAAATATGTATTCTGATTGTGTCAATTCATTTGCTACATCCCTTTTCTATACCAAAGCGTGAAAGATACGAATATGCCGTTTGTACAATCTAATATGCCGTACTATTTCGTTTCTGTTCTATTTTTATTAAGTAGATACATGATTTACTTTGATTAAAAAAATAGAACCATATACTTTTGGTTAATCAGAAAAGACTGAACAAGACGATTTCAAATATATGCGTATCTTCATATTATTGGAAATATTTGTTTTGTAAATAGTGGTTCGTGTCACATGACGTTGCTCTTTGGAACTTGTGTTTTTCCTAGTTTCCACTGAAAGGGAAGAGTCATGAGTCCGTCCTTGAGCCAAACGCGCTCAGCCACTCTATAAAATAACGACACCTAATTTCATTGATTCTAGTTTTCGGGAAAATCCGATACTGCCCTTGACCGGGAGACGCTCAAATGCCCCTAATAGAATTCGAGGAGACTCGCTGAATTCATGTTGTTGGTGTTGCTAGTCGCAAAAATTACAACTTCAATAGAAACCTGTACAATAAAAATTTACAAAAAATTAATATTTCCTTAAGTATGAAGGAAACATTAAATGTCATACATACATTAAACATTACGTTTATACATTACATATCTTACTTAAGCCATTTCTGACAAGACAAAATTGAGTACATTGTTATATTTTAGTAATCAATATTCCCGTATACATCCGTAATACAAATAGAGCAAAGGAAAATTTGTTTTGCCTATCTATTCAATCGAACGTGCAAACGGTATATTCGTATTGTTTACGTTCAAAAAATAAAGGCTTAGCCGAAACATCATAAAGAAACGAGCTAAAGAAACTTAGCCCACACATTCTGATTTGGTATAAAGCGCCTCGTTATTCATCAAAATGTCGTGAAACTGGGCACCTGGCATTTACCAAACTGCCATTGAGAACTGTTTTTTATATCAGTCCGCAACCTCAATGTATTAAAGGAAACTAATTAATCAATTAATAGAGTGTCACTATACTTCTACAGAATAATAAATGCTTTTAGAAAAAATGCTAAGGGGCGTGGATTTATAAGAGACGTTTAATATTCTTCTAAGGTAGATCGTGCCAAAGCTACTGCAATTAACAATTGACTCTTCAGGTCTCATGTAATTAATACTGACTGTAGCTGCCTCCATGTCTGTACCATGGTGTAAATGTTTCGATTGTGTCAGGTCTGCCTTCTTCCCAGGATAGGAAATACGTTTATAACCCAAAGGCCATTGAACGACAGAAGTAATAAGTGGGAAGGAGCGTTATTTTTCATGAATATGGGGTTTATGACGCTACACCAAGAAGGGAGAAAGCGATATATGGTTCGACAAGTTTCTTTAATACGACTTGGCCGTCATTGTTCGCTGAATCATCATTAAGGGAGATCGGAAGCAACAAACGACGGTACTCCACACCCGCGA